GCTGACGGGGCAGTAATGAAATACAGAACGCCCTCTTCTGGGCCTTCATGCTTCGGAAATAGCAACATTTTTCCTGTCACCAAAACATGTTGATTTACAGATTATATTTTTGGTGTCTGGGTGAAACTGCCATGAGCAAAGATACTTGCGTTTATTTCTGATGTGTCAATTGCTATCAAAACAACGTGTTAAATATGAAGCGCTGCACTTTAATCTGCCCGATAACTGGAGGTTAAACAGACAAGTGGCATTTAGTCCCTTCCAGTTTGTCATTTATTAACCAGCTGAGAATAAAGCTGTAGGGCAGCGAGGGCCAGACTTACAGGATCAGGTTTGTTAGCATGTTTCAGCAACATGCCACTTCTATGGGCTTTAAATAAAAAACATGGCAATTAATCAATGTTCAAGTTATTAATATAAGACAGCTCAGAATAGGATTTCTGCATTTTGCGTCAAGGCAGCTTGGCGAACCTCATCCTGGTAATTTAAGTGACAATTTTATGCAAAAATATTTTTTGTTTAAATATAAACTAATGGAACCGTGTAGATTTGTTTTAAATCAATGTTCTATTTGGTTACAGTCTTTTCCTGTTGTCAGTTATACATAAGACGTCAAGAGTATCTTGATAGTTTGAATAGATAACTTTGTTTCTGAATTGAAAATCCTTTATAATTGAGTCAAAACCTTAAAAATCAGATTTGAATCACTAGACATTAAACCATAGTTCACATGGTACAATTTTTTGTTCTGATTTTCCCGTTCCACTAATCTTAGAACATTTGGTGTTCTAAGATAATCACTTAAGATAATCATAATCGATCATCCTGACAACCCGATTGTCCTAACTCTTGTATTGGGACCAACTCCACCATCTGCTCCACCTCCATCTGTTTTCTCTGCTGTGAGTCAAACCAACCTGTTGCCCTCCCGGCCTGTGGGGGCGCTGCACCTAGAACCACTGAAGGAAACGACACAAAACCTCTGACACTGAGAGCAACTTCCTGCTTCACCAGATGGAAACAAGATGGAGGTGTCGGATTTGAGAATTTCTCTTTAGTCTGGCTAAAGAGAAATTCTGCTGCTAACGTTAGGCTAGCATGTTTGTTTTGGTTGTATTTACCCAGAATGCCCTGGGCTTTAGTTTACTTGCTTCCTTTAGAGCAGTCGCCCGTCTGCTTGCTTCCCATATGCATTCGAACCAAACCAGAGTTTATGTCAGCAGAACCCAGATCGAGGTTTGTAGGTGGACCAGAGTTCGATTAGCCTCAACAACCCAACTGAACCTAGACAAACAAAGTGGAGTTTGATTAAAATCAACTAAACAGGGCTGGTGTGAATGCATCTTTAAAGAGTCACATCTCTATTATATTAAGTAATTACAATCTAAATGTAACTTGTGTAGCTCTCTGTTCTGTGCGGTTTAAGCCTGACAGCGAAGGTATAAAAGGTGTAGGATGAGATGAGGAGAAGCAGGCGAGGGGCGTCGCGTCCCACTAGCTTTGTCTCCAGGATACGGTGGCAAGTGTGAAGGAAGAGGAAAGTTTCAGGCACGTGTTGAGCCACACGGGAGGCCCATTAAAGCAGAACCTCCTCCCTGTCTGACTTCCTCCGCCCCAGGAGGAGCTCACCTGGGAGCGTGATGGGCTCTGCACTCCCTCCTCCACATATCCACCCTAAAGGAAGTGCCAGGCCCCTGCTGCTCCGTCTCCGGCTCAGGATGGCAGGACGGGTCTCCAGCTGAATCCATACGTCAGCGGCGACCGCCAAGGCGAGGAACACTTCCTCACCGCAGCCATCGCTTCTCCTTTTTGTCTGCTTGACGCCAAGCCGTCCGCCTACATCCAGAAACGGAGAAAAATAGTTTGCAAAGGCGCTGAGATGTAGGTATCTAAAAATAGACGATGCAGATGGAGAATCCCAGGAAGTACTGAGTTAGGATCTGCTCCTGTGAAGAAAAGGAGGAGGGGGTGCTTTGCTACATGCAGAGGACCAGAGGAGCAAAAGTTAAGTCTCGAAGGAAAAAATCTGGCCTAAGATTTCAATGACCCAGATCCTGGCTCTGCAGACAACCAGGTGTTTGCTTTACTTCCTCCTCTCTGGCTGGAGATGCTGTTTGGAGGTTGAGGTGGCTCTCAGACGGCGTTGGTGACAGAATGGGGAAGACCTGCCATGTGGGACGACGGGACCTCACCTGGCTGCTGTGGATTTAGGCTGCTCCACTGTTGCTTCCTGGGCCGGAACAGGAGGGTCCAGCCGGAGGTACGTATGAAGGCCAGTCCTTGTCACTCAACCAATTCTTTCAACGGGGATTTTGACAGCTCATAATCTGGCCGACAAGGTTATAACTGCTGTGGTTCTTTCTCTCTGTTCTGAGTCAAACCAGCCTGTTCCCCTCCTGGCCTGTGGGAGCGCTACACTGAGAACCACTGAAGGAAACAACACAAAAACCTCTAAAGAAGAAACTGAGAAAACGTTCTTCTTTACCAAATGAAACTAAATTAAGGTGTCAAATTTTAGTGTTGGAGGATTTCTCTTTAGTCTTTGGTTTCAAGACCAGGAGCCATTTCTCCTGCAAGTGCTAGGCTAGCTTGTTAGCTTTGGTTGCATTTACCCAGAATGCCATGCACTGTGGTCCACTTTCTGCTTTTGGAGTGGTCTCCAGTCTACTTTGTATTCACATGCATTCAAACTGAACCAGAGTTCACTTCAACTGAAGCCAGACTGAGGTTTGGAGGAGGACTGGAGTCACTTTTTTGGTTTGATTTCTCATTCAGCTGTGGTGAGATGTTTGTTTTCTGCAGCTCCTATCATTACTGCTCAGGGAAGATTTAGCGCTTCCTTGTTTAACACAGCCTGCATGTTATGTGGCTTTATTATGTCAGAAATGTTTTTTTGCATTCTGCTCAACCTGCAGGGAGCAAAAACACTCAATTCAACCGTACAGGTTGGTGCATAATGACACATTTTACCCTGCTGAGGTGGATTTTCTTCGTTACACATGCAAATAGACATGATTGCATGTGCATGACTGTCCTGCTGCAAGGCAGCGTTGCTATAACGGCGCTGCCGCCGTCTGTTGTGTAATTCATGTCAGTATAAAGATTTAGTTTTTTATTATGAAACTTGTGTAATTTAACTGTAGCTGACAGGTGAAAGGAGGGGATTGGTTGCTCATCCCTCAGTGTGAGCAGGACCGTTACATAACCGCATCATCTCATCAGATTCATCCTACTAATCATCACATGGAGCCACTGAGCTGTTTTCCTCCTGCAGATGCAGATTAGTCACTTCAAAACAACTTCTTCCATTTATGTAATTGGAGTGAGTCGATTGTTTTCCTTTTTTTTCTTGTTTTCTTGGAACCAATTAGATAAAACCTGCAGATTTAAAAAGTTCAGGATCCCGCAGAAAAAGCTTTTCTGCTTTTTGGTTCCAGAAAATCTTGCAGTTTTTTGTTGGATTTTAGGCAACAAAGCAGATAATAATTATGATGTGGAAGAATTTATATTCAGCCAGCTTTACCTTGATAAATATAAATGTAACTGAATGAAGCAGTGTGTAATTTAATCACAGTCTAAGCGCAGCTGTTCTGTTTCTGGCCTTGGAGAACAAACTGTGTGTATTTAAAGCGTTTGGACGCAGCAGGAGGATCCGGTGCAGCGCCGGGAGATCCTCACAGGTGGAGGCTGATTCAGTGATCTGTGCTGCTGGATCGCCTTCTACATTATGAAACCACAAGATTCAGCTAAATATACGACATTATGAGGGCTGGAAAACCAACGTGTCATATAGAGACTTTTAGAAGGACAGATCTAGAAAGTTAAGTCTAGAAAAGGAGTTTCTGTTCCATTTTTTATTCTTTCTATTGGCCAGTGAGTCTGAGTGCTAATGCATGTCTGGCTTTTAAGATGTTTATGTAAAAATGTTTAAAAACAAATGATCTCTTATCTGGGTTTTCATTTGTGAAGTTATATATTCACAAATTAAAAGCAATAATTTGGATTATTTAGCATGTAGTAGGAAAAAATAGGAATTTATTTTTCAAAGTCATTATTTTATTAATTTATAAAAATAGTTTCCAAGCTAATGATTTAGTATTTTTGTTATGATGATTATTATTTTATTTTATTTAGTTAGCAAGATAAATATTTAGATAAATAGCAAAAATTAATTTGGTTACAGAATGGTTAGTTAGTATGCTAAATATTTAGTTTGGAAACTTAATATTGAGTTTAATAACTGAATAACTAGTTTGAAGCTAAATCTTAAGTTAGAAAACTAAATAATTTTGTTCGGGGCTAAATTTTTAGTTAGCAAAAAATATTTAGCTACAAACTAAATATTCAGTTAACAAGCTAAATATTTAGTTACTAACTAAACCAAACTAAATATTGATCTTGCAAATTCAATATTCCGTTTGAAACATTGAATGAACAGATGGCATAGTGAAATATGAAAATGAACTCATTTCTTCTGATTTCAGGCTAAATAACCCAAATTATTGCTGTTAATTTATGGTTGTAACTAAACTGCAGCCTTTGCTTTGTCCTTCAGTTCTTCATAAAACTGATTTTTGCGGTTGTGACGTAATGCATCAAGATCTGCATCCTCCCGCATTGACGTTGTAAGTTCACATTGCGACCATTTAAAGATTTTAAATCAACTCATTGTGATTATATTTAAAATTTCCTCTTAAAACATGTTTTTACAGCTTTTCTTCTAATGTGACCATGGATTCAATTTCCTCCTCTGACAAACATCCAAAATAGCAACTATTGCACAGAGAACGATTAGATTTACAGCTTGACTACATGAGACGCCTTGCTTGGGTAGGAGGCTCTCCGTCATCTTGAGAGCAATCTGTCTGCGTGTTATTTACTGTGTCTGCGCGCAGAGCCGCGCCGCGCCGCCCTGCGCGCCGGCCGCGCCAAGCCGCCCTGCGCAGAGCCGCGCCGCCCTGCGCAGAGCCGCGCCGAGCCGCCCTGCGCAGAGCCGCGCCGCCCTGCGCGCCGGCCGCGCATCAACCTCTCCTCTCTCACAAAGCGCCTCGGTCATAATAGGCTGGTTGGAGGTGGACGGACTTTCAAAAACAGACCTATATCGGTCCATCCCCAGCTGTCAGCGGGAACCCGAACAGGTGGCTCCTCCGGGCACCCGTCGACAGCTTGTCGCGCTCGCTAATCTCCGTTGTGACGACAGCGCATTACCCGGTGCGCGTAAAACCGGGAGTGCGGGAGGTTTGGGTTGGGATTGTCATCAGTCACCAGGATTTTACTCATCGCTGCGGATTCACCACAAAGACAGATTTCTGGACAGTCTGCACCTGAGCTGGAAATAATGACTCTTCATTGGATTTTATGAAGTTTGAGCTGCAAAGTCTGAGAGGAAACATGTTGCCAGAAATAAACAACAGGGTGAGTTTGGAATAAACTGTATTTCATGACAATTTTATATTGGCTGAAAAGATTAAAGTGGATAATTGATCATTTCGGAAATATTCCACACATCATAACTAAACCTGAGTGGGAGGTGGACGGTTTCTGCCTGGATACAGACTCAAGCTTAAAGTTTTAGATTCACCTGAAAATGAAGTTAGAGCTGGAATCAACCTCTAGCTTAAAATTGACCTGGTTTGTGGCTTTGTAGTGTGAATTTTTGCAAAGTTTGAGAATATTTCTGGTTTCTCCTCGTTGTCGTCCAACCTGCACCTGATTTCAAACTTCTGCCTCTTTGCTCCTGAACGCATGCCAAGTTCTGATGAAAAATCTGATCCATTTCTATTTCAGTCGTTGTTTCGCCCCATTTATTTCAGTGTTTGTTGTGCTGACAGATTCCATCAGTCTAAATGTGTTGCGGTGTGTTTTTCACTCCGTACATGGGGACTGATTAAATTTAACTGTTGCTGCTCCAGAATCATAACGGACTAAAGTTGTGGTAATTGCTCAGCTTTTGGGCTCCTGGTTGGCAGCTGAGCGCAGGTCAGAATCTGCAGCAGAGATGACAGGATGTTCTGATTTTACCCTGATAATTAACCGTCTGACAGGTCGGGGTGTGAAAGGTTTACAGTTTGTTGATGTTTACTGTGGTTGCTGTTTTATTGCCTCGCATGAAGCTCTTCTCTCACTTTTGCAAGGGTCAAGCAAAGCCCTGCAGCTGCATGGACAAAGTCAGCGTTACTGCAGGTTCTCCGTCGGCAGCTGTGCATCACACACCTGGAATCGGCAACTTGATTCGTTCCAGTTATAAACTCTGGGATCGTTTTTCACTGCTTTTAGCTGCAGGCGTCACTTTGGACCGATTTGGTGCTTATCAAGATTCATGTCAGCTGATATTTGGTTAAGTTTGATTCACCTGGGACACGTCTTCACCTGCCTGCTGCTCATGAGCTTACGGCTGATCTCCACAGCCGGCCTGCCACAGTGACCCACATGCTGTCACACACTGAACCTCAGAGGTCAGAACGCAACCAGACCACATGAACTTTAACCTCCTGAATGAACAGGAGCTTCCACAATTAATTACTATAAAACTAAACTCACACAAGAAAACTCAGTTACTAAAAGACATTTAAAAAGTGCCTTACAGTTCTGTAAAAGATCCAAACAAAATCGCACATCAGAGTTTGTGCACAGATCCAAACTTATTTATTCACAGCAGATATACAGGACTTTTCTCAAATGGGGGTTGAGTTATAATCCTAAACAATGTCCCGTAAAATTTGACACAGTGTCAGATGGGAGCATCAGTTTCTGCTTTGTTCATGTCAGAGACGTTGGGCTGACCACCAGAGGAAACAAACAAAATGGCCGCCTGCAGTGTTTAGAAAACATTCCTGCTTGATGTTTGGCTCACAGCCGGAGAACAATCAGCTCAGAAAATGGATTTTAGTTCAGAAATGTTACATTATGACAAAGACCAACTCTAAATTAGCTGGTACACACAGTGCCAGCATGTTAATGGAAAGTTGAGTGGATGGAAAAAGTGTGGTTAAAAAGGTGCCCATGCTTTCATTTAAAACTGTGGAGCTGAGAGAAAGAAGAAACAAATTTGAGTTTGAGGTCTGAATTTTGGCTTCATTAGCTGTTAGCAGAGGCATCAATTACAATTTTCACCATATAAAAACCAGATCTGCTGATTCTGACTGTTTTTTCTGAAAAATTGCTAACAATCAGCCAACCCTGTGTCACAGCAGAGCTAAAGAAGAAAAACATTCCCATTTCTAAAGCCCTTTATGGACACCAGTCGCATTAAGAAACGAGTTGCTGCACACAGTGCCTGTATTTCCAAATTTATTGGCATCTTGTTACTTTTATTGAACAAAAAGAGGAGAAATTTAATCATTTGAATTGATAACAATAAATCAAAATTAATTTCTGAGGTTATTTTCTGGTCGAGGAAGTTTTCCCTCGGTGGCATGCAGGTTGCTTCGCTGCGGCCTCCGGGGGTCAGAAATGCTTTGCGATTACGATGTGGAAGCTGCACCTGCAGCCAGCGCAGCTGTCATCCTGATCAGCGCTGGACGGGCTTTAGATAAATCTGCACCTGAAGATAAGCCGTTATTCAGCCGCATGCTGTCACCCAGCAGAGGCTGATTAATGCGGCACGTGTAAGCCGGCTCTGCCCTGCATGGCGCCTGAATCCTTCAGGGCTGACCGGCCCGCGGCTCTACAGGCTTTCATTATAGTTCAGTTTCATTATGTTTCGTCTCTTTCATTTAGTTTTAGTTTTTACAGTGTGTTCGCTCGTATTTATTAGTTACATATGGTTTAGTTTTTATTATAATGGTAGTTTTAGTTTTTCACACTTAAATTTAAAAAGGTCAACGTACTGTATAATGGTTATACGTGTATCGATTGGGTAATGAAAATGTCATTTTCTAAAAGTATATTCTTGTTGAATCGACTCTTTTGCTGCCGCCATTTTGCAGACTGAAATACTTCCAGATATTTTTAAACTGCATCAATAAAGTCTAACTTAAAATACTTGTTTTAAGATGACCTATTTTCCTGCACAGTGTTATAATTCTCTAAATGAATTATGTCATAATTTAGTTAAAAGATTTTCAGTAGAAAATTGTGTTGGACTCTGGTGGACTCATTGCGTACAACAAAACCTTTAGTTTTACAATATTCTCATGTCTTATGAGATTAAATGTGTTATTAGACTGTATAATGCTATATGCCATGTTCATCATCTTGACAGATAGAATATGCTGCGCTGTAATTTGGGAACTGCTGCCCAAAACTGCTTGTGTGGGAGAAAAACTATCTATTTTGCATCAGTTCAAAATGCTAAACAATGTTTTAGTTTTTAGAAACACATGAAAACATTTTCAGATAATAAAAATGTTTTCATTTTTAGTTAGCTTAGTGAACTATGATAAACTGCTTTATCATAGTTTAAATAAATGTTCTTAACCTCGTTGTGCTGCAGCCTTTGTTTTCTGGGACACTGGGAGTTTTTTTGCCTCCTGATCTCCTGATGGACGCACAAACGGAAGCACACCTGCAGAGCGCAGGGAGCGCCGTTGTTGCTGGGTTTTTGCAGGAGCCGTCTATTTTCGGATCACTGTGCATTATTTTTACTAGCCTGGTTATAACCCGGCTCAGATGCCCAGAGGCTGTGGGTTGCTAAAGAGGCTGGAGAACCCAGCCAGCACAAACCAGCAGTTTGATGATTATTTCACTCAGCTCCTTCCAGCACTTGCATTTGTTGAAACCATCGCTATAAAACATCATTCTGTGCAAAAGTCATATTTCCTTTGTTTTTCTGTTTTGTTGAACATTTTTCATGAAATTTGTCCCGTTTCTCCTGCAGGCGTCTCGGCCAGAGGCGTTCCCTCACCCCCACCGACTCCCAGTGGAGGGCAGCCGCATCGGACTAAACCGACCCTGCTCACAGGTCAGCTGCTGCAGCAACGCATCCCATCCCAGCGTGATGCTGCTGCAGCAACGCATCCCAGCGTGATGCTGCTGCAGCATCTTTTTCCACTGGTGCTGAAACCATCAGCAGAAGCCTGAATCCTTCCACACATGTAATGACTTGTTTTCATCAGTTAGTTTTTAGCAGCAGGTGTCCTGATGAAACTGTTGCTGCAGACGCATGCGTGGTGTTAGGAGCCATTTCCAGCCAAAACTTCACAATAACTTATTTAGTCATAGCAGAAAACTCATGGGTTCATTTTCAGTCATATTTTCATTCATTCATCTGTAAATGTCACAATTTCAAACCAATTATTTAGTTAGCAAGTTAACTTAGCGATCCAAATACTTAGCTTGAAGCTAAATACTTAGTTGAAAACATAAATATTTAGTTTAATATTTAGTTAGCAAGCTATATATTTGGTCAACCGACTTAAGTATTCAGATTTAGTTGAATAAATTTATACATTTTAGCATGAATCCAAATATTTAGTTGGAAGTTAGATATTTTAATGTTGAGCTAATATCCACATTCAGTTGCTGAGAACCAGAAGTTGACCACCAAAATAAAAGCCTGGTATTCCAAGCCTCTTTACGAACCTAATAAAACAGAAGATGAGCCGTTTTGAAGGGAATAAAGACGTTGATGAATCTACAGCAGTGATGCCTCAGAAGGAGCTGCTTTTATTTTGATAATGCATTCTGATTAAATATTTAAGAACTAAATGTTGAGTTAGCTCAAAGCTAAATATTTAAATGGGAGCTCAATATTTAGTTTAAATATATTATCCTGCTAACTAAATTAATGTATATTTTGTCTGAAACACATTTATGAATGAATGAATAACTTGGTTAACATATTAAATGTTTCTCTGTTACGACAGCCTAAATAAATCTGATTATTGCTGATATTTGTTTGCAGAACGTGTACATACTCACGTCTCGCTGCCTCTCATTCAACAGCATCATATTTAAACGTCATGTTCCCTCAGTCAGGTTGCCTGTTGTGGCATGAGCCTGTGGCTATATTTAGCCTTATCTCCATGCATCATAACCAAGTTAGCAGATCTGCTGCAGCTGATCACATCAAATTTAATCATATAAATATCTGCTGCAGAAACAAATGACTCAGAGCAAAGTATGCAGCAGTTTACTACAGACGTTAGGCGGTTTCTGTGTCGTGGGACAGACAGGACGTTCATTTTGTCCGTTATTGTAGGACCTGAGCGCCGCATGGCTGCAACACATGTAATCGTGCTGCGAGAGCAATCACAGTGTCAGGCAGAGAAAAGCAGGTTGCTTCCCCACAAAGACGCCGCAGACAGGCCCTGTCAAAGCCCGCCGCCGAGGCGGTCCTCAGCCGTAATTCCAGCCGCTGCCTGCGGGGGTCCTGGACACCTGAGCCGCCATGACGGGGGTGGAAACTGAATTAACTGATGAGAAACAACCAGAACCAGAACCAGACTCCTTATACAGAGAGAGAGGGGAAATCCTGCAGCTCAGTGTCTAAAAACAACTGCATAAAGTTTTTCATTTAGCGGTCAATGTTTTTAAGTTTTTGTGAAAGTTTTCCACCATCCATTTGTTTTGTTTTTTGTCACAATTAAATGTTTCAGATGATCAAACTAGTTTTAATAGGCCAAGAAAACCTGCCTCAGTTAAGGTCAGAGGTCAGCATTTTACCTACAGCATCACTTCACCAGCAGCAGCTTGTTAATTAAATATGTAGTTTAGTAAAAACTGAGTCAGAATTAACCTCCATTGTTCCTCCTATCAGAGGCTAAATAATTCAAACTATTGCTGTTCATTTCTGACTGGTTCCCAGTACAGAATGAGTTCCAGTCACCAACCAGTGATTCAGTTACAGCAGATTCACTCCATCTGCATTGTTAAGTTTTTCCATATATATAATTTTCATATCATTTATTCCTTCTTTTCTGGAACTGGACTAAATGTTGATTCCAGTGATTCTTAAACCAGTTTTTCTGTGAATTGCAGAAGTTCAGCTCCGGTTTGGGGTCCCTGCCGCAGCTGGAGACGCCGGTGGTCCAGGTTGTCGTCAGCAACGCCAAAAACCAGCAGCAGCAGTCGGACAGCGTCCTGCCGCAGATCTCCAACAAAGGAGGTCAAAACAACTACCAGACGGTGAGCCCGACATTCACAGCTTCACCTGCAGATGGCAGCAGATCCTAAACGCTCTCAACTGCCTTTAGAAAAACTGAACGTTTTCTCTTTTTGCGGAAGGTCGAGAGGTCAAAGTCAACTCAGCAGTTCACGATGCGTTACGGCGCAGCGACGGACAAGGCGGCCATGTCGCGTAACGGGAAGGCGCTTGGAAACAAGGTGGAGAAGGAGCGAGCGTACGAAGGGCAGCGGCTGCCCATGTCGCCTGCAGGTGAGTTAGCTTCATTAATGTGCAGCGCGGGTGTCCAAACTGTGGCCCGGGGGCCATTTGCGGTCCCACTGGACTGCCGTCCAAAAATAATAGAGATTTAGACCCCAGCTCAGATGGGAGCTTTTTATTTTTAAGTAGAACTATTGGAGACAAATCTTTTTCAGGGCTGCACCGATTGGAGTTTCTTCAGTTTTCGCTGATAACCGATCCTAAAATAACTGGACCTGCCGATGCCAACTTTGGCTAATACTGATATTTTTGGGACTACGTTTCTGATTTTAACGTAGCGCTGCCTGCTCCCGTTTTCCTTCCTCAGAGGCGCTGAGTAACTTCCGGGAGCGGCTGACGGAGTTCGAGCAGCAGGAGGTCAGCGACTTCGCCGAGGTCTGGTTCCTGGGTCTGGGCTCGCAGAAGATCGAAGGCTCCCAGGGAGCGGCGCAGAACAACGGATACGACGACGAACACGGGAGCTACGTCCGGGTAAAGCTACCGACGCTTCGCTAAAGGGTCGTAAACAGGTCAATACGGCTGACAGGTGTCACTCAGGACGGCGCTTAGTGTTGGCAGGGAGCGCTGAGCGTCGCTCCGAGGTGAACCTGGAGTCCTTGTGACAGAAACCTCGTTCTGTCCGGCTTTGCTCCTGGATGCAGAGCGAGCCTCGCTGAGGCCGAGCGGCTGGACGTCTGACCGACGGCTGGACCGCCAGATGATCCGGACTGAACCTGCTGACCCACTTTGATTTACACTTTCAATGTCAACTTCTTGTGACAGCGACGCCTGAAGGCCGTTTATCCTGGAGCTGCACCGGCTGAACGACCCTTAGAGGGTTATTCTGTTCTGGGTTTGATCTGCAGGGTTTTCTGTATGTATGTTTCAGTGCATCATCACAGTGAAGCTGCAACTTCAGTTGATTATTTCAAAATGCACTAATTCTGAAAATTAAATGATTAATCAAATTTAAAAGAAAAATTTGACAAATTTTTAATTTAAGCAACAATAAAAATACATTTTAAAAATCATTTAATTTCCCTTTGGTATCAATAAAGTATTTTGAATTTGAAATAAGCAAATGATTAATTTTTTAAATAAGAAAATAAACATTTTATTTCCTAAATTGCAGCAACACGTTCCTGTAGTTTGACCTGCCGCTAATAAAATCCTCCAACATGAACCTGTGAGACGCTGCAGCCGTCCTGCTGGACTGACCTGCTGATTATTTTATTGATAACAGGATTGAAAAGGCAGTTCAGGATATTTTGTCTGCAGAACCAGGAGGAGTTCTGGTTAGAACAGATTTACAGACAAACGTTTCTTCTTCTTAAATGTAAGATGTTTATATTTTTGTGCAGTTTTGGTTTCATTCATGCTCTGAGGGTGTTGTTCTCTCTGCAAATGGCTTTTTAAAAGTTCTCCAGTTATTGATTGATCGATTACTAAATTGGTTTATGGTTATTTGAGTCATGGATTGATCATGGTTGATCTGATTAATCCTGTTCACGTTGTCACCTCTGCTGCCTTCAGGTGCTCCATGACCACATCGCGTACCGGTTTGAAGTTCTGGAAGTGATCGGGAAAGGTTCCTTTGGCCAGGTCCTAAAATGTCTGGACCACAAGAACAACGAACTCGTCGCCATCAAGATGATTCGCAACAAGAAAAGGTTCACACTTCCTGCTTCTGTTCATTTCATTTCTGATTTATCTGCCATCGTTTAAAAGCCTCTCCGGCAGCCATCTTTTGGCATTTATTCAACATCTGATAGCGTTGTAATATCCTCCCACATAGTGCACCGTGATCAGTTTACGTTTTACGAGTCTGCCAATTTGTTGAGACCAGATTTAGCCTGCTGGAAGTCGGCGCTATGTGGTGTTAGCTTACCTTTCCTTCCCCACTGACTGACACAGTTGGATATAGATGCCTGTTAGTTAGAGCCGTGAGCCTTTGGGGTTTTCCACCACTTCAGTGATGCAGAAATCAAAATGGATGCAAAGTGCCACAGATTTCTGTCATCAACTTTATCCTGAAACATCCGCGTTCAGGCTCTGAATAAAACACGTTTTCCTTTTAGTTTCAGGTCTGGTTCCTGGGTCTGGAACCGTTTAAACAGATTTCTGCGTTTCCTGCAGATTTCATCACCAAGCTCTAGTGGAGCTGAAGATTCTGGAAGTGATAAAGAAGAAAGACAAAGACAACCTGCACAACGTGATCCACATGAAGGAGCACTTTTACTTCCGGAACCACCTCTGCATCTCCTTTGAGCTCCTCGGGTCAGTACCAGCAACAGATGATCAATTCTGATGAATAATTGATCCTCTAATTGGAGGCGTGTCACCTCTAACTCGTTCAAGCCCCAACCTTGAACCCGACTCTCTGGATTCCTAGTTTCACTGGCAGCTGGCTGGACGGAGGAGCTGAGCGATTTCCTTTGTGTGTAAACCACTGATCTGCATTTTAAAGGATGAAGTTTTATGTGCGGCTCAGTCTGAGTGACCTTTAGGGGACGCCTTGGACTAGCACCTTGTCTAACATTACTGTCACTGTATCCTTTAGTTAAAGCCTTGATCACGGCCTATCTCTTTCCCCATCATGCTTCATGGTGCGAAGGATCCAGTTGCATTTACTCTGAAGAGCTTTATGCTTATCACAAGATGCAGGAAATAGCACAGATCCAGTCTGTTCCTGAGAGCACAATCAGCTCATTTCCAGGCAGGTTCTTAATATGAGTCCAGAAATGTTCACTTCTGCTTATTATTCAGATTAGTTTAAAAGTTTCTATCTAAAGAAATCCAGCAGAGCATCGAGTCAGGAGACACGTCTCCATTATACACAAATCCAACATGTTGAAGAATAACAGTTTGGTGTTTTTATTAAATAAGAAATGCCATTAAAATCACTAATGAATCAATTAATAAGTCAATCAAATTTATTTGTAAAACACATTTCTGTGTCATGGCAGTTAAAAATGATTTGCACCATTTAAATGTAATGCTAACTAGTCTAGCTGTTAACAACAGGCATGCTAGCTGCAGTGGAGCAAAGACCAAGGGGTGGGAGAGCGGGCGCATGATTGACAGCACTAAGCCCCGCCTCCTGGCTCTGATTGATTATTTCTAGATCATACTAGGAAGAGGTGAGGATCTCCATATTTCTTCTATGATTATCAGTCATTAACTGTCACAACATGGCAACAGTTTCATCAGATATGTGAACATTAAAGTTGCAGCTTTAAGCTGATTCATTTTCATATTTCCTGTTAGCACAAATTTAAGGTCAACGGAAACACAGATATGACTCCTGCTGGACGTAGCGACAGACGATTGCTTACGTTTGGTTGTTAACTTTAAAGCATGTGGTGACCGTGGAGAGAAAAAAACTCCACATTAACAGGGAGAAATCTCCAGCAGAACCAGAACCAGAACCTGGTTTGAGAAGACGGAGCAGAGACGCAGAAGGAAGCAGAATAACTGAACCGGGGGTACTTTCTGTTTCCTGAAAGTAAGGAATCACAGCCAATCAGAACCCAGACCAGGTGCAGCTTTTACTGGGATGAGAAAACTGAGAGAAAACAAAATCAGCAGCTTAAATATTGCAAGATGGAGAGTAGTAGGAGAAGAAAGTGAGGAAAAGCTTTCTTCTGTCCTGCAGGAGCCTAACTACAGGGATAACTCAGGGTGACCTCAACCCTCTACATGAGGCAACGTTTTACATTCTTCCTTCTGCAGCAACAACATAAAAAAGAAATCAAATTTAAAGACTGATTTAATAAATCCTGTGTTCTTTAGCAGCCTGATGAATCCTGCCTTATCCCTTCTGACAGAGTGAACCTTTATGAGCTGATAAAAAAAAACAACTTCCAAGGCTTCAGCCTGGCGCTGATCCGGCGGTTCGCCCACGCCCTGCTGCGCTGCCTGCAGATGCTGCACCGGGAGAAGATCATCCACTGCGACCTCAAACCGGTACGGAGCTGCCTCAGCTGTTTCACCGCCTCAGCATGAGAGCAGGGAGCGCCCTCCTGTGGACAGCAGCAGTACTGCAGCCATCTGAAGGGTGTGAAACTGTCTCCACAGGAGAACATCCTGCTGTCTCAGCGAGGGCCGGGGAACATCAAGGTGGTCGACTTCGGATCGAGCTGCTACGAACAGCAAAGAGGTAAAAAAAAAAACACAGCAAAGATTATTTAAGCCATTTAAATGGTCAGTAATTTATTAGAACAGAAAATAATTGATCAGAATCACTTTATTTCCATTGCCAGCAAACAAGTTCACAGGCTAGAAAAAAGGTTTGATATAATAGTCAAAATAAAAATATACAAAATGCAGCAGGTGGATAACATGGTTATGCCAGAGTCATTCATACTTATATATATTTATTATATTGATTCATTCATATCAAATATAGAATTAATTGTAATTAACATCCAACAAGGATGTCAGGAGTTGTTTTCTGGTTGAAGTAACCAATCACACGCCAGGGTCTCTATAACAGCAGCCAATCAGATGTCAAGGTCTTAATTCCGTTGACAGTTTATAAATTAATTCACAATGAGCTTCAGCACAGAAACATAAAAGAATTTATTAAATAATTAATGCTAATTTTTACAACTAAAAATGGAGGCACAATTCTATTCTTAATAAATGATTTCTGTATTTTCAGTTTTAGTAAATTAATGAAACATTTAAAAAATCATGTTATTTATTGTAACATGATCTCTTTCTCTTCTTTCCTCTGTGTCACCATCGTTAGTGTACACCTACATCCAGAGTCGCTTCTACCGCTCCCCAGAGGTCATCCTGGGTCACCCCTACAGCATGGCCATCGACATGTGGAGCCTGGGCTGCATCCTGGCGGAGCTCTACACTGGCTACCCGCTGTTCCCCGGGGAGAGCGAGGTGGAGCAGATCGCCTGCATCATGGAGGTGGGACCCCAGAAACCCAAACTCTGACAAACAAAATGGTTCAACAAAACTTTCCAAACCAGCTTTCACTGATGTGGAAAAGTTTTTCTTCTAAATTTAAAAGACAGAAAAACCTGAAAAGGAGGAAAATACTTCAGAACTTGTTACGTCTTGTTGACTTAAAGACTTGTTTTTGTCCCTTGCAGGTTCTCGGGACGCCTCCGAATGATTTTGTCCAGTCGGCATCAAGGAGGAAATTATTCTTCGGTAAGAATTTTATTTCTGTGTTTTTATTCAGCCAGCTTCCTGACCTGAAATGATGAAATTTTCTGACTTCTGAGAAAAAAAGTATTTTTTTCAGTGATCCTAATCCTTTTCCGTAGAAACAGTCACTAGATGAAAAAGAGTGTTGGGGATCAAAATTTGAATCAATGTCTGGCTTATGTAATTATTCATAATAGTAATTTATCATTAATTAAATGATTAACAATTAGCTAATTAAACATGTTGCTGTGGAATAAATATTGAAATGTGACGATCTTCAGTCAGAGGCCTCTTCAGAGTCCTTGGTAGACTGACTGCTACTGGAGGTCAGTCCTATTGATGACTAAATTTAATTTACCTCCAGCAACATGTGAAGTATTTTTTAAATTTTACTTGAATTTGAGTTCATTGCATGTAGGAGATGCTTCCTGTTTTTCTGCACGTTAAAAATCAAACATTTATCATAAAAATGCAGCTTTGCGAATTTGCAGAATTTGACGGGAACGTTGGGAACGTTCCTGTTCACAGTTGATAACCAGTGAAAACAGTTAAGAGCACAATATATAGATAACTATCTGTAGTTTCTTCTCTCCATTCTTAATGTCATCGGCCACAAACAACCAACATCTCACAAGAGAAGTTTTCTGTTGAGGTGAATCTTTAGGATTTTTCCAAGTCTTTCTTTTGCAGCTGCTATTCCTTTATTTGTCCGTTCACCTTCACTGAATCCTATTTTATGAGTCTGTGTTTTTAAATGCACGGCTGCATTATGACTGCAGACTCCAAAGGAAACCCGAGGAACATCACTAACAGCAAAGGGAAGAAAAGGAAACCCGACTCCGTCGAGATGTCAGCGGCGCTGAAAACCAACGATCCGTTGTTCCTGGACTTCATCCAGCGCTGCCTCGCGTGAGTTTAAACATTTCTGGACTCCGCAGAGCTTCTCTTTGCTCTCTGGATGAGACTCTTTGCTTTGCTTTTCAGTTGGGATCCAGCGAAGAGGATGACTCCCGATGAAGGGCTGCAGCACCAGTGGATCCTGGAAGGAAACTTCAACAAACTGAGATCCAGAACCAAGCCGACAGCGAAGAGCTGCAGCAGCGCAGACAGACAAGCAAACAGCAGGCCTGGTGAGAGGAACGCGCGCTGGGGAATAAACGCAAAACAATGCACCAGTACACGTGAGGAAATGCTTCTGCTAATTATTGATCACCCAATCAATGCTTCAAATTTATTTATTTGTATTATTTTTAAACTTTTCCATACACAAGTCAAAATTAAAGAAAAAAAGTACACAAAGATGAAATTAGTACTGAAATAGATAATTGATATTTAATTTCCTGTCGTTGTCAAGAACACAAAGTATGGAGTGAAAAAGTTTAGGTAGATTATCAAACCTTCATTTTGTAAAACAAAACAAAAACAAAGCAGCAGAAACTTTTTCCATACATGTCATTAAATTTCAGCTGAGTCAAAAACAGTCAAATGTTTATCTGTAGTACAACAATCTATGTATACATAATCACAAAGCAAGGCTTTGTGACCTTTTTGACCTGAAAAAACTGAAACTACTAATACTATATCTAATAAAATTAAACTATATTTAACTAATAAAAACTAGGAGCCACACTTTAAAACTAATTCAAATTGAATTAGACAAACTAAAAGTTACATTGAAATAAAACTGAACTATAATTTTAAAAATGCCTAGAGCTGTAATAACCGTGGTGTTTGCACTGTTTTTGTTTTTTGCACAGCGGAGAAGGTCGGTGCAGAACATGGCAGCAATGACAAGCTGAAGAGGGGCGGCTCCGAGGTCGGATCAAAGATGGCGTCCGGCGAACGCCTGCGGCCCCTCGGCGCCTCAGCGGAGGAGGAAGTGTGTGAAAGCGAAGGCGGTGAGCGGCCGGTCCACATCGTCATCAAACCTCAAGAAGAAATGAGCACAGAGCGGAAAGACGGCTAGCAGGCCTGGAGGACCGGGATGCCTTCAGGGCCGCTGGGAAATACGGATGTTCTGGTCCTGACTAACAGGAAGAAAACCTGAATTCAGTGAAGTGGTTTTTTTTCTACATGATGAGAGAAACTCAGGAGAAAAAACATCAACGACGACAGACATCTTCTGGTTTTGGTAGCTGGTCAGATTTAAGTTTCATAGAAATCGTGATCCAGTTTCATTTCATCACATCTGAATCATGAAACTTTATTTACTACTTATTAGAGTTACGGCAGCATCTGGACCTGCCTGATATCATTTCTAGAATCAAATCTTTGCTTCAGAAGAACGAAAGCTGGAAAACGTAGAAAATTTCCTACTGCTGCTTGTTCATTTCTCCTCATGTTAGTGTGAAAAAGCTGAAATATTGAGTTCAATAACGGCTGAGCCAAATGATTTTTATCATGACAGCAAAGAAACATTTATCATACATTTTAATTGATTAAGTTGATAACTTGTGTTATTATTTATTGTGGAATAGTTTGTTTCATTGAACTAAACCCTGAAATGTGGATTTTTAAAGAGAATCTATTGTATATATTTCTGCTGTCTTTTCTTATAAATATGTAAAATGGAGCAGATTTTAAAATTAGACAAGGTTCTACTTGTTGTGTTGTTACTGAATGCTCACTTTGTATGTCCGTTATTCCTAATATTTTTATATTAGAAGCAAAAAGACAATCCTGTTATTGATAGTTTGTGCCTTGCAGTATTAGAGATCCAGCACTTTATTGTTGCTTTGTTGACATTTCCTGTCCAGATTTGTGCCGTTCTGCCAGGATCCCTTTTATTTATCAGAAAGATTCTCCAACTTTATTGGTTGCTAAAAATTCATTTAAACTGATTTTATTTGTTGTTGTTTTTTTTTACAGATCCAGCTTGTAGAAAAGCACATATCAAAATATATGGGCTAAATAATTTAATCCTTAGATGAAAGAAAGAAAGTCATTTCTATGTATTTTATGCTGCAATAAATGTTGTTCAAAAAGCATTTTGTTTCAATAATTTTACATTTTTCTCACTCATGTCATGTGTTGTACACCCAGGATTCAACCTGATACCAAATTAAGATATGTTTCTTTTTTTAGTCCAAAGTTTTCAGGTACTGATTGTAATATTGATGACAAATAAATAAATTTATTTAAATAAAAAGCAAATGAAAGTGGTGTCAAAAATAATAGGGTGGTGCACGTGTTTCGCTGCAGTTTGACTAACTGGATTTTAAAAAATCCAGTTATTGTAAAATATGCATTTCATAACAGCCTAACATGTGGAGAATTAAAACATAATGTAGTTTTAATGACAAAGTTCATACAATTCTGATTTCTTTTTGTCTTTGTCTGTGTTTAATCCAAACCCTTGAAACTGAACAATGTCATTCATTTTGCAGCTATTTGAATAGTTGAGAAACAAACATCCGTGTTTTAATGGGGCTGTAAAGTCACTGGGGTCTGCATCATTTCCACTTCGTTACACGTCATGTGAGCGAAGTCTGAGAAATATCTGGAGCTGAAAATTATACGCAACATATCCTGTCACATCGACCAGATAAAAACATGGGAAGAGTTAAGTGAGTTAATAAAAAATAAGTCCCAAATTAATGCTGAACTTAATAATAAGCTAATAAATATCCGAGATTTGGGTTTAACTGCTCGTCTCACTAAAAGATATAACCAGCTGTTTGTGTTTTTATGTCTCCCTAACAGATTGTCCCTGTTTTTATGCGACTCTCACTACTTGTGTTGAACGTTCATTCTTTCCGCTGATGTATATTTTAAAAAGTTTCGAGCTATGCTTCCACCAACTCTCCCGCCGGTGGACTAGAATGGAGCGAATCCCGCATTTGATACGCCACAACATACGCACATTTAATTTTGGCCTACGCGGTTGCCGTACTCGGAAAGATGGCGACCGTCGTATTGGTTAGCCGTCCTGCGGGTGTCCTGTCAAAGATTTCGAGTGAGTAATGTCACAATAGCATTTAGAGGCTTGCACACGCCGTGCAGCTTGTAATATTTGACATTTATTCACGGACACGCCGCTGTACCGTGAACGGGCCGGTGAAAAGGAAGGCCGGCCGCAGTGACCTTGCTAACATCCGCTAGCTGAGCTGGAGCTAATCGGATCTTTATGTTTTGGGTCGAAAATGCTGCTTTTTTACCGAGGGCTTACGTAACATAACATAACATAATATTAAATAACATAATATAATATAACATAATATGATATAATGATCCTGCTCTGCAGGAGCGAAACTGCAGCTCTTGTTCTTCAGGTTGAATTTACGGATAAGAAGATTAAATATTTCTAACTCTCAGGTGCTGAGGTCAGAAATGAGAAAAACTTTGGTTCAAATTCAACAAAAATAATTTTATTAACATTTAAGAGAAAAGGAAACACATAACTTTATCACCACTTATATTATTTAACTCATTAAAAGCACTGTGTGGGGTTGCATAGTAATAATGTTTCTGATTTGATGCATTTTAATATTTCATAATATCCTTCCTAAAATTGTCATTTTTTTAGTGCTTTGTAAGTAAACTGGATTCTGAGATCATCAAATATTTAACAAGTGCTTCATTTACTCTTGAGATCATTTTTCCTGTTGTTGAATTTTATATATTTTTTGTCTTATTAAAAGCAGAAACAAAAAAATAATAATAATTCTGCCAGCAAACAAAGATTTTCTCCACACCTTAGATAAATTCTGTAACTGAGATTAAAAGCCATTTATGATGGAAACCAGAACATTTGTAGTCTAATTAAACATCATTGACTGTTGGGGGATTAAAAATATTAAATATCAGTTTATTGGTTAGTTTTAAAAAATATTTCTCATCTTAAATGAAAGACAGCAAATGGAAACTAACTTTAAGAACTTATATTTTTGTATTTGTTTTTAATGCTTTTGTACTTGGTCCTTGTCAAATACATAAAATATAATAAAATAAACAGTTTTGTTGGACAAAAATTGATTAATAGGAATGAAAATAATCAATAATACTCTGTTTACTTTATTGTTAGAATTTGTGCGAACTGCTTCCTATAAAAGCAAATATATAAATGGATAAATTTCATAATTATGCAGCCTACCGATACTTGGACTGCAGCTATTAAGACAACAAGAAAAGACAGATTTTAGTGTGTAATGCTTTTCATTTATCCCACCTTCATGTTTGTGAAGGTTTGTTGGAAATCATTCATTTCCTGTTGGACTTAAATAATTCTAATGAATTTGTTTCTTTTGTGTTTTTAGTCCTCAGAAAAATAATCTTGAAGCTTCAAACAAAAGGCTTCAGCATCGGCCAGTAGAAATGGATTTGGGTCATTTACAGAAATAAAAACTTGTCTCTGATGCATTTCATTGATTCTTGTATTATGTCACATAGAGTTGATATAGAACCGCTGTCCTGATTGGTTTTCTGCTCCTGTTGACAGGCAGCTGCAGCCAGGCTGCGTCTGCAGCTGCGTGCGTTGCCGCAACGCAACAGAGGAAGCTGCACCATGCCGTCATCCCCAAAGGGAAGGGAGGACGCTCGTCTTCCAGCGGGATCGCCGCCACCGTGTTTGGAGCCACGGGTTTCCTGGGCCGATATGTCGTCAACAGGCTGGGTGAGTTCGAACCTTTTCATCAAGCTTTCGTCATTTTTCAACAGGATTTCATGATGCTGAATAAAGACACATTGCAGCGAGACGTGCGCAGCATCCCTGCTACATGGTGAAAAATTCTGCCCACAGATGTCTAACATTGGTTTTAGCTGTTAAGTTGTCAAAGTAATGAGCTAAATCTTTGATATATACTTGATATACAAGGAAAAGGGACATTGCTACAGCTGTGAACAAACAACGACTTGATAATGAGGCCAGGAAAAGGTTTTAATTGGAAAACATAGCAAGGGAGAGGAAAGTAGGTCAGTTATGCTAACTTGACTATGAGAACTTTAACACCTTGATGTTATGCAGAATTTGATGTTTTGATTTAATTAAAAAGTCAACCCATCCACCAACTTATCAGTAGGCCAGGTATTTAAATCAGTTAATCTACCATCGCTGTTAGCTTAGCTGATAACAGCATTAGCTAATCTACCACCGCTGTGTTAGCTTAGCTGATAACAGCATTAGCTAATCTACCACCGCTGTGTTAGCTTAGCTGATAGCAGCAGTAGCTAATCTTGCACAGTGATCACTTATTAATACTCACAAAATAAACATGAAGCCTGAAAACATGAACCTGGAACTGACTGGGTGTTTTGTTTTGTGTGTGAAATATTTGAGTGGTTGTTGGTGTTGAATCCTGACACATTAGTGGCCATGGCAACAAGTCTGTGTGAAGCGTAGCCAATACTGAGAGTGAGAAAAAGGGAGGAAACTGTTGGTTCTAAGTTATTCTTTAATGTTTTCTCAGCGTTATTTTCCCTTTGCTGTGTTGCACTGAACTGATAATAGCGCCATAATCAGGCTTCATTTTGTGAACAGGATTCTCCTACAGCGACGTTAAATGAGTCATCTTTTACCCTCCAGCAGTAAATCTCCACATTTAAACAATGACCTGCAACGTGTCTTTAGTGAAGTGGATTTAAAGTCCCTGAATGTCGCATGCTGCAGGTCGGGTTGGCTCCCAGGTCATAATCCCTCACCGCTGCGATCAGTACGACCTCATGTACTTCAGGCCCATGGGTGACCTGGGCCAAATCATCTTCCTGGTAAAAAACGTTTAAACACGTTTGCAGGACGGATCTGTGGGACGTGTGGCAGAAACTCTGCTGTTTCTGTGTGACAGGAATGGGATGCGAAGAACAAAGAGTCCATCCAACGGGCCATCGAGCACTCCAACGTGGTCATCAACCTGGTGGGCAGGGAGTGGGAAACCAGGTGAGTTGACCTGGGAAACCGCTCACCTGCACGTTCCACATCAAACATGCAACAAGTCGGCAAAACCGAGAACAAGCAGAAATGAAGAAGAATAAAAGCCACCAAATTCTGAGAACATTTTGGGATTTTTGATAGTTTTTTTGCAAACTGTTCTACCGTAATATCTGGACTATAAGCTGCTGCTTTCTGACATGCTTTGAACAACCTGCATATTAGGCAATGAGCCTCATATACGGCTTTTTACTAACGGGTTTCAAAAGAGAGGAAGAAGAGTGTCTGAGGCCAGGGACCCACAAACACAGAAATAAAAACTTCCTCACAAATATATATGGAAGGCCAACAGTGCCACAAAACACAACTTTTACCACGCATCTGAATAAACGCTGCTGAATAAATGGCATAACTTTCAGCGCTTTTATATTTCTACAAAATATAAAGAAGAAAATTTGATTTCAGAATGTTTTCTTTCTCACTTTTATTCATATTCAATAATTATTACATGTTGCCTCAGACCTTCATCAGGACCTGTCAGAGTTTTTTTCTGGACGGTTCCTTCTGCGATTCTCTGGTCAGAAACTTTTCTATTTCGCGCTGCTAAGCTAACTTTAGCAGCAAAGCAGCTTCTTGAATTTGCCTGGCAGCCAATTTTACTCCAGCAGGATTATGAAGCCATACTTCATAATCAAAGTCATCAAGTAAATGTAAAAAGTACAGCATAGTAAAAATACCACTAAAAGTAAATTTACTTGTAAATATAACTAGTTCTGACTCTGTTGAATGGAAACTCTGTGAAATTGTATTTTCATCATAAGTTGGATATAATCTTTGGAGACGTTGGTGTTTGCCTCCTGAATAGTTTTTACTGTACATTTTATTCCTTTATTGTATGAATTGTTTTTTATGTAATTGGGGCTTTGAGTCTGTAATACAATCTATTTAAAAATAACTTTTGTGCTCATTTACTGAGTTTGTTTTTCTCGTTTTAAAACTAGAAACTTCCGCTTTGAGGACGTTTTCGTCAACATCCCTCAGCAGCTGGCCCGGGCCACTAAAGAAGCCGGAATCACAAAGTTCATCCACATGTCCCACCTGAACGCCGACATCAGCAGCCCCTCCAAATACCTGAGGAACAAGGTGAGTCCGGCACTTCCTGCACAAATCAAGCCGGCATGCGGCGCGTGGCTGACGGCTTGCTCTGCCGCCGCAGGCTGTGGGCGAGGAAGTGGTGAGAGAAGAGTTTCCAGACGCTGTCATCATCAAGCCGGCCGAGATGTTTGGCAGGGAGGACAGATTCTTCAACTATTTTGCCAGTAAGCAGTTTGTGACGATGAGAATCAGCTCAGCCGTTTGTGGGTTTATAAAAACTTTCCTGGGATTCTTTCAGACATGCGCTGGTTTGGAAACGCGATTCCTCTAATGGCGCTCGGGAAGAAAACGGTGAAGCAACCTGTTTACGTAAGTTTTTAAAGCAATTAATTCTGCTGAGCTGCCAGAAGGCTGCTGGCTTGGCTTTAAGAAGTTAAAGATGACAATTACTATGAGAAATTATCATATTGTCATTTTAATGTTACACCAATATCATAATGATAATGACATATTAATGCAAATATGTCCTAAAGATCAAAATCTGTCATGTTTATTTGTAAAACAGTTTTAAAAACGGGTTAAACTGCAACAGTTTTGGACAAAGAGACAAAAACTATGAAATCACAGCAGAATAAAATGATAAAAACTGAAACATCAAAATAACAATAGTTACAATTGATTATGAAGTCTGCTGCAAAAAGGATTAATAATTCATCTTCAACAGGAAAAAATGCAAACATTTAACGTTATATAGGAGATAAAATGTTTGTAGCATTTTTTAATTTCCCAGGTTTTTAACTATATTAAAGTAAATCAACTCATTTTAATTTATCAGGTGATAATTGATTGATTGCTTCTGATGGCTTACAGATACTGACATTTGCTTGCTGATGCATAATTGATTTTATTGATTTAAGTGATGCTAACTTTCACCAGCAGGTGGCAGCGTTTCTACACTGCAGCCTCAGACTTAATAGATGAGAATAGTTGATGATCAATATGGCGAGTAAACAATCAATCAAGCTTTAAGTTCTTTAAAGAATCAAAATCTGTTTTTCTATTTGTGGATTTTGGAAGCAAATTATGTCAAAAGTCCAAAAGTATCTCCACAAAATCATTGATTTTGATTGAAAAATGATGATAGAAATAAACGGCGTGTTTCTTCGTCAGGTGGTGGACGTTGCCAAGGCGATCGTCAACGCGGTGAGAGACCCAGACGCCAACGGAAAGACTTTCGCCCTCGTTGGGTAACAAACAATCTCTAATATCTTCAGCAAAGCTCCAAAATTACATTTATGTAAAATTTTCACTTCTGTTCTTCATATTGTTTCGTGTGTTTTTTGGCATTTATTTGCTTCCGTAGCTCTGGTTCAGGTTCTCAGAACCAGTTTGAAGAAATTCTGCTGCTTTATTGGACTTTTTGTTTCAGGAATTAAATGAAAGCAGATATTAGTATTTAAGCTATTTTTTGTGATTTATGTTGATCTTAAATTCAACTCTCTGAACGTTGCCGAGTCTCTGATGTGGGGTGAAATATGACGTTCTGCAAAAGTTTCCATATATCCTGAATTTTTCACTTTTTGTTATTTTAAAACCACAAACATGAAAAACGAAACTCTGATCAGATCAGATAAAAATGTTTTGCTACAGAAATGATTCAGTAAATGTGACAAAAAGTGGAAATGTTCTTGGGTTTGAAAATCATACTGAAACAATTATGTCCAATAATTTAGCACATAACCAGAAGCTCAATCAACTCGGATTAGATCCAAATTTATGATTTCTTCATTATTTCATTTTAGAGAAATAATAAGGAAATAATAACATAAAGTTGATCAGGCAGTTCTTCTGGTTTAAAGTATTTTAACACAACAGAACATCCTCCTGGTTGACTGGAAACCAGTCTCATCTGTTATGGTTTCATATAGGCTGCTCTATGGCAGGCAGTTTTAGCATAAAATCGGTGTTATTTACTGAATGATCATTTCAGATTTCAGCATTTATATTCTGAATAGTAAGAGGAAATATTGAAGTACAAAAAGTCTAAATTTACAAAAGATTTTCCTGAATATCTAATTCATTTGGAGAAAATTCATTTTGAGTTGTCAAAATTATAATTCCATACATATTTGAGTTAGTTTTGACAAGTTGTTGCACAAGTTGAAGTTTATATATCTCCCATCTAAAATATATTTAAAATATTTGTAATTTTTAATGTACTTTATGGTTATAATTTAATTATCTGAAATATGTTTCACATAGTCAGTCATTTGTTGCAGGCATCTTAATCTGGCATCATTTATAGTCAGAATATAATCAGAGAAGCAAATCTATCAGTGAGTCGCTTCTGATTTTTAGGGTCACAATTTGACTCTAACTATTTTTAATTTAGAAGTATAAATAACATCTATAACTAACATTTGTAACTACAGTTTATAACTCATTTTTCTATTCAAACAGAGCAGAGATTCTGTGAAGAGGAAAAGAATGTAAACAGAAAATGTATTGAAAGTAATTCTATGATTCCATCAGTTTATATTTAAACAAAACTAAATTTGTGCATAAAACTGTAATTTAACCAATGCATTAATTTAATTTAATATTAAATTAAAAACTATCAAATAGTTATGACAAATGCATTCTGTGGTATTCTGAACACATTTAAAATACTTTGACAATAGAAATTGTCATAAACTCATTTCATGAATCTGTAACCAAGTGAAGCTGATTTTGTGCTACATCGGCTTGCCGTAGGGCTGTTTTGCAGCTGATTCTTGTTACCTGCCTGTGTTTGACCTGCAGGCCGAACCGCTACCTGCTTCACGACCTTGTGGAGTACGTCTACGGCGTGGCGCACCGGCCCTTTATACCCTACCCTCTGCCACTATAAGTAAGCATCTCCATTCTTCTGCAGGGAGTGTTTTTAATGTCACTGATCAGAACAAAGGCTGACATTGAAACCTGAATGTCAGCTTGAACTCTGCTGCTGTTAGCGACTGACGTAGCGACTGCTGTCTGCTTTCAGCCTGGTTGCCAGGATTTTTGCTATGAACCCGTTTGAACCCTGGACGACCCCGGACAAAATCGACAGGGTGAGACGATGAAGATGTTTAAACTCAAAGTTTATGTATTTTTTTAACTTTAATTTAAATTTGTCTTCCTCTAATTGTGGCCCCCAGGACCCCCAGCGATTTGCACTATACTGCATGTAAATGACCTTTTATTTGCCGTGACATGAGGTCAAAATGCAACAATTAGCTTACAAAAAAATTATGTTCAAAAATAATAATGAATTAGCAGCTTAAAACCAGATCACCCAAAAGAATAGCTGAAGATACTGAAAGGAAGAAAACAACAGCAGGAATACTGAGACACGTTGCATGTTGTAGTTTACTCTGGGAATTTGTTCCTTCGCTCAACGCTGGAGGCAAAACCAGAGTCTTGATGCTGCTGCAGTAGAACTAACTAAAGAAACCTGGAGATGTTATGAATTCAGGGAAACTAACGCAGAAAAACGGGTGAAGAACACAAAGCCACGGGTAGGCTATGCTATACCGACCCGTTACCATAGCAACTGACTGACAACAGCTCCACTAGTGTATCAGGATTCAACACCAAAAACACTTCATTTCCCACACAAAGAACAGAACATTCAGTCCGTTTTATGTTTTTAGACTTTTGTGACTATTAATACGTGATCGCTGTGACAGATTAGCTGCTGCTGCTATTAGCTAAGCTAACATGGGAGTGGTTGATTAATTAATTTAAACTCCTGCTATAGTCAGTGGTTTGGTCGCCGTTTTTAATTCTTTTTAACTGAACCGAAATACTCAGAATTCCACAGCACATCTACATGTTAAGGTTTTCATAGTCAAGCTAGCATAACTACCCTCTCCCTGGTTATTTCTTTTCTTAATTAAAACTTTTGCCTGACATTGTTGTCTAGTTGTCATAGTGTTGACAATTAGTAGAAAAGCACTGCGTCCCTTTGTGTTCCATTTCAGGCGTGTATTTAAGAATTAACATATTATGTTGACATCTGAACAGCTAAAACCAATGCTAGTCATCATTAGCTAGCAGGTTTTTGCCCCCCAGCAGGAAGTCGGGGTGGGATTTGACGTCACACTGCAACACGTCCGTATGATCAAATAGAGACGAATGTTTTCATTCAGGTGGATATTAAGTTGTTGTTATTTTTAGTGAGGAGGTTTGTGAATATTTAACTGAAAGGTTAGAGAAACTCGGCTCGACGTCTTTAAACAGAATGCTCTTGGTTTCCGTCCAGTTTCACACGACAGACATTAAGTATCCTGGACTTCCTGGTCTGGAGGATCTGGGCATCACGGCTTCCTCTGTGGAGCAGAAGGCCATCGAGATCCTGCGCCGCCACCGCCGCTACCGCTACCTGGATGCCGATCTGGAAGACACCAAGCCGGCCAAGACGGTCAACTACTGAGGCGCGGCGGCTCGCCGTGTAATTCAGCTTCCTGTAGCGGTATTCTGTACATAAATAAAGAATTATCCTCACTGGGTGTTTCTGTCTTCACTATAATTCAGCTGGACACATAACTCTGGGATTTGATTAATAACTTTTACAGAATTAAAGAATTTCATATGAATTTGATTCACAATTAAGACAAAGGCTTTTTCAAAATCTATAAAAGATTTAAAACTAGATTTTCCTTCTTGTTTTCTGGCATTAAATCTGCAGTAAGTAACTTTATGATAAAAATGTTTTTATTAAATGTTATGAGGCAGATAATCTGAAAAAAGATTGATCCCCTGAGCTGCTATTGCTGTCTAAAGAAATTAGTTTAATTAGTCAAAAGCCACATTAAGTTCATTTTCTATAATATGAAAGTTTAAATATATATTTAAAAAATTCAGTGACAAAAGTTTTGATCTGATCTGTAAAACCAGTTATTCATAATTTTATTAGCTCATCAAAAACATCTGGATCCTTTCAGTGATTCATTCATCCATGTTTGAGAAATCCTTTAACATTTGGAAACAAAAATGACAGGTATTTGTTCATATGAGACGTTTGTGTTTAAATGAACATTTTAAAGCTGCAAACATTTATATATGATGTCATTTGAATCCTAATTTGCCCTGTATTGTGCCAATCTGTCTGGGCTTTTTAAATATTTGTTTTTTCATTCTGGGAAAGCAGAACTATCCGAGAAACATAAAATCATGTAAATACAGACTGTTTACTCTAAACCCATAAAACAATCAGGAGTTACATTTTGAGAGTTTAAATCTCAGTCCAGGCTGCGGCTGCTAATGTTCCCATTTACAGAATGTAAACGGCTCACTGAAAGTCCACCTGCAAGTTAATATTATCTATAAGATAAGACGCGTTTTATGGTCTGAACTGGAGCTGAGCGGCCGAGGAGTTTCTGCATGGAACAGAACGACACTGATTTTAAATCTGAACAGCTATGAAGGCTTATTTTAGAGTAGGAGTGACTGGAGCTTTTTTATTCTTGGTGTATCTAATTATCTTCATGACTGGGAGGTGGAGAGAAGAAAAACCGCATCAGAAACACGTTACAAACCAGGAAACCATGAACCGAAAACTGGACAGGATTCAAGAGAGCCTAAAGAAGCTGGGTGAGAAAAATTTAACCGATTTAACCGTCAGTCAGTTAAAGCTGCAGTGAGTAACTTTTATAAAACGATTTTGATTTTACATATTTATTAAAACGGTCACCATGTAATGGCAGTTTGTTATGAGACAGGTAATCTGTGTTCCTCGGCCTTCTCACAGCATTAACTAGAAACAACCAATCAGAGGCAGGAGGCGGGTTTTAGTGTCGTCAATCACTCTCCTGCTGTTGCAAGGCCAGTTAGCAAAGCCCCCAATGACAGCGCAAAATGGCTTTTGTAAAGAAGAGTTGTTTGTCTGCCAGTTCACATTTAGCAGCAAGTACATGAGAATAATTGACAGCAATAAGACCCGCCTCCTGGCTCTGATTGGTTGTTTTTGGTTCATCAGATGGCAGCAGCAGATCAGGAGGAGGTGGAGATGGATTTGTCTCATAACAAACTGACAACATGGTGACAGTTTTAACAAATATAAATCAATTTTATTAAAGTCACATCCTGCAGCTTTAAAGAGTAAATCCATAAAGCTTCTTTCTTTGTATTTGCTCCCAGTTGGTTTGTGCTTAGAAAACATTGCCTGATCTTTGCCTCTGAAGGAAAACAGTGCATACCTTCTGCTGTTTCTGAGAGTAAATTATTGTTTTATATTTCCTCCAAAAAGAAAATCTACTAGAGAAACATGAAAAGAAAAGCTCACCAGATGAACTTTCTCCAAATAAAAACCAAACCCGGCCCAAAAAGGCACTGAAGCTGTACCCCAACTCTGAGCTGTTTGTGAAGTGGGGCGACGGCCTGACAGACGAGGAGCAGAAGGAGGCCGAAGCTCTTTTTAGGATTTATGGCTACAACGCCTTCCTCAGCAACCAGATCGCCCTCAACAGGGAACTTCCTGACATGAGAGATCCCAGGTAAGAGTCTCTGAAAACAACAAACGATGACGCATCTGCTGCTGGAGTCACAGATCTTCTCCCACCAAACACCCAGATGTCTGAAGAAGAAATACCCCCGAGCCCTGCCCAGCGTCAGCGTGGTGCTGATCTACGTTAACGAGGCGCTGTCTGTGATTAAGAGGGCGGTGCGAAGCGTCATCACCAACACGCCTCAACGCCTGCTGAGGGAAATCATCCTGGTGGACGACCACAGCACCTACAGTGAGCCCAGTTCACACTTTTTAAAGACAAATGTTGAAGCTTGCATTTCTTGAGATGTTTGAGTCACAGCATCTCAATGAGCTCTGGGCTTTGACTAGGCCCTGGGTTTTTACCAGCCAGTTCTCTGTGGATCTACTGGAACGTTTTGGGTCATGTTACAGAACTCAGTTCATCACCCCACAGCATGACGCTTCCACCTCAGCTTCTCAGGCCTAGTTCACACACAGCCTGATATCTGGGAAAACAAAAACATTTTATTTGTTTTCGCATTTCATTCACTTGAAAACTCTGTTTAATATTGCCAAAAATGATTTTCTATATAAACTCAAAGCACAGACTTGAGAAAATTCTGTATTTGGGACCTTTGACAAATAATGTGCCAGTAAATCCACAGACTTGCTTTGGCTTAATTCCCAACGGACATTGACTTATGTGTTATTATGGTTATATTTGTTTAAACTTCTACATCTGTCCACATATACGAACCGCCATGTTTAGTTCCAAACAGAACATTGTTTTTGTTTTGAAACAATCTGATTGGCTGATAGGTTTTATCTTAGCTCTACACTGCCCCCTATGGGCTGGCAGCGTTTTCATGTTTTTTTAAACTAATCCCGTGTGTAAAATATTTTTTTAATGTGGCTTAGACATTAGATTTACAGAGCTTTTGGTTTCATTCAGTTTCCAACATCTTCTCCTTCCAAGCTTTATTAAATATTTAGCTTATTACTTCTGCAGCTCCAATCTTTTCTCTGGATGAAATCTGCACTTCAACAGGCACCAGCACCAAACTAGATTCAAATCGCTTCCAAAATGTCAGGATGTTTTTATTGTGTACAGAGGATGTCGTAGGTCAGAGGTTTTAGGGATTAACAGACAAAATGCTGAAATGTCAAAGAACAGCAAACAGAACTGGTTCCCGTTCTTCTGACTCAGGAATGTGTTTCAGACGATCTTGGGAAACCGGTGGAAGATTACATAGATGAGATTCACCAAGAAAGGCCTGGGCTTGTTAAAAGAGTCTGGCACACAAGTCCGATGGGTTTGTCCCAGTCCCGGATCAGCGGCTGGGAGCATGCCACTGGAGACGTGGTGGCCATTTTAGATGCTCACATTGAAGCTACAAGAGGATGGTACGCACAAAACACAAAGGTCCAGCATCTTCTCCAACTGAGCTGTTTAAAATGTTCACTTCATTTCCTCTGCAGGGCAGAACCTCTGCTGGCCCAGATCAAAGCTGACAGGACTGTTGTCGTGTCTCCTGTGTTTGAAAAGATCCACTTCGATGATCTGCATGTGGAGAGATACATGTCGTTTGCTCAGGGCTTTGACTGGGCCCTCTGGTGTATGTACGAGTTCCTCAAACCAAACTGGAACGATGTGGATGAATCACAGCCTCAGAAGTAGGTTGGAAAAATAAAACCAGGGATTATTAGGTTATTAGATTAGACTAGAGGGAAGTAAACTATATCAGTGAAGATGAAATATCAAAGAGCCATGATCTCTGTTACTAATTTTAAAAAATTAAACATTTTAAAATTATATCCAAAATGTGAGAAAACACAAACAAAACACAAAGAACGGCAGACAGAAATGAGCAAACAGTAGCAAACTGTGGCAAACTGCAGCAAAGTGTTTATCAGAATCTGAACCAACTGGATCACCAAATCTTTGACTTTGTGGTTTTTAATGGTTCTGAACGGTGAACTAAAGTTAGCTGTGCTAAAGCTAAAGCACTAACCATAATCATTAGCTGTGCTAATGCTAAAGCACTAACCATAATCATTAGCTATGCTAATGCTAAAGCACTAACCATAATAATTAGCTATGCTAATGCTAAAGCACTAACCATAATAATTAGCTATGCTAATGGTAAAGCACTATACTCAAACGAACTTAGCAGAAGCTAATGCTAAAGCACTGATATACTAAATTCAACCATTTTGATACCTTTTGCTTTTGCATGTAGAAAAAGAACCAATTAGTTGTGTAAAAATGCTTATCATGCTAAAAATATTCATAATCAATTCATTGAAATGAACATTTTTAACGTTCAGCCCTGTTCTCGCCCTCAACAAGGTCAGGTTTGTCATTTCCTCCAGGAACTGATTCTTCTTTCACTCGGGGTTTCAGTTTTGTCATGATTGATATTTGCTAACTCTGTTGCTAATTTGGCTAAATGACCACAGTATGGCTTCATATTTTAAAATCAGCAGATTTTAAAATTATTTACTGTGGAACTACAGCAATGCATTCTGAGTACAAAATAAACGTAATGTCCTGCACTTCATTATGGAGAATGTGAGGAGAGGAAACAGAACTGCTGCACAGCGATGTGGAAAATAAAACATCATTTCTCCTGTCAGCAGGTAAAACTGTTGTCACATAACAGCCAAATAAAAACTGATTTTATTCCACTTCCTTTATTATCAGATCCACACAGATCTGCTTTGCTTCCAGCCTGTTCCTGCGTTGTCTGTGCGTTGCAGCAGGCCGGTTGTGGCAGGTTGTTCTCAGACTCTGATCTCTGGTGCAGGAGTCCGTCTGTCATGGGAATCTTTGCAGCAGATCGAGGATTTCTCGGAGAAATCGGAGGACTTGATGGAGGCATGACAGTTTACGGAGGGGAAAATGTGGAGCTCGGGATCCGCGTGAGTCTTGGCAGCAAGAAAAACAGTGGCTGACTGGATAAGAGCTGAACTCTGACCCCTGTGTTGACTGCCCAGACTTGGCTGTGTGGAGGAAGCGTGGAGGTGGTGCCTTGCT